ACGTGTCCTGACTTTCCAGCTGGACGTGGAGGTGTGAGGACAGATCTCCCCCTGGAGTCCTAGCCTCAGGGAGAGACACTCTTTCCCCCTTAGTGGCCTGGCATGGCCTCCTCCCTTCTTTCTTCTTCACTAGGAGATAGTGTCACTCTTAGGTGACAACAAGGATATCCCTGGGCACCACCCGTGAATGAAACCCTACTGCTGTGGTTGTTTCTGCAAAAACAGTTATTTAACCTACAATTGTAGCTCAGAAGCTTCCCGTACGGAACTGTGGCACAGCTTATATGTTTGTATCATGCTTTTAACGTTTTATATGCTGTCTTCCTGATTTCTAGTCCTTGTGCATGGGGACCACATCTATGTTTCTTTGTACGCTGTAAAGCATCCAGTCCTCAGCTCAGCACTTAAGAGGGGCTCAATAAACATTTATTGATCCATAATTAGAGCTACATGGGAAAGCAATTCAGACAAGGGCTGAATCAGTCAGGCACTGTTAGGCATCAAAACAGATAAACTCATAATGTCAGTTCTACCTGGTAGGTCTCTTTGTCATCAATTAGATAGCTCTGGTGCATTTAAAAGGATGCCCTAATCCTGGCTTGTCTTTTTGCTCCTGGACCCAAGAAGAGATGTAACCCTGACTACTCCCCTGAAATGGATTTGAAAGTGGCTTTGATATTCACGACATTCTAGTTTGGATCTTTAAGCCCAGTTAATTCTGTTCTCTGTTCACACTTCAGTTTTATTGTCTCCACACCCCCCACCTGCATTATGTTCTTCCTGGTGATACAGTGGACAATTTGTTTCCTTGCTTCTTTAGGTACGGTCTTGTGTCCTGGCCAGCTCTGCGTACTGACGTCTGTTTAGCAGCATGTAGCAGAGAGCTTTGCTCAAAGTGGGGACACTCGAGCACTTACTATGTGCCAGGCACGGGACACGGCACTTAACTGTCATGAGTTGTTCTACTCCGTGAGGTAGATTCGTTACTATCATCTCCATTTTACAGATAAGCAAACTGAGACAGAGATTCAGTAACTTGTCCAAAGTCTCTACTGCTAGCAAGTGTTAGAACTGGGAATCGAACCCAGGCAGTCTGGCTTTGGAGTTCATGTTCATAAACAGGACATATTGTGGCCTCTCCATAAATCACTGATCACAGATTGATTGAATCAAAGGTAACAGTACCAATAGTACGTTCCCACAATAATGAAGTTGCTTTCCCAAGAGGTGAAGGGCAGAATTGGAGCCATGTTTTATGAAGGTCACAATTGGCATTCCTTCGTTTCTCCACTTCATTGAGTAGAAAAAGTCCACATTTCCCTTAGAGGGGTGCTTCTCAAACAGGGGCATTTTGCACCCATCCCCCCAGTGCAGGGGATGCATTTGTCAACCTCGGGAGATATTTTGATTGTCATGACTAGGGCAGGGTAGAGGGGAGTTTTGCTACTGACATCTAGTGGGGCAGAGGCTGGAGATGCCACTAAATATCCTTTGAATCTCAGGGGAACCCCTCCGTCCCCGCAAACAACACGTTATCCTGTCCCAAATATCAATTAGTGCAGAAGTTAAGAAACCTTGTTCTAGAAAGATCCCAAGTGTAACTACTTAGGAGGTCTCTGATGTGGCTCACTTTGGACTACACATTCAGGAAAAGGAAAAAAATTATTATTTTTCAGTCATTCAGGCTCACTTCTCCAGTAGGATAGAGCATAGTTTAGAAAACCTTCAAAGGTCTACCAGTCACTATGAACATTTAAAAAAAAATTTTTTTTAATGTTTATTTTTGAGAGAGAGAAAGAGAGACAGAGCACAAGAGGGGGAGGGGCAGACAGAGAGGGAAACAGAGAACCTGAAGCAGGCTCCAGGCTTTGAGCTGTCAGCACAGAGCCCGACACGGGGCTCAAACCCATGGACTGTAAGATCATGACCTGAGCCGGAGTCGGAAGCTTAACCGACAGCCACATAGACACCCCTACTGTAACCATTTTTAAACGACATAAATTTAAATTTAGACTTTCACTCAATCAGTTGTTCAACCAAGCATGCATCCCACCCCTCAAAGCTACCAACACAGTAAGACATAATCCTCATAAAGTAAGAAAGTGAGATGAGGTGATTAAGAACAGACATAAGCTACCAGCGAGCATGTGGGCTTCCTCCCGTAACCAGAAGCTTCCTGTCCTCTTCTAATTGGCCCAGGGCAGGGAACTCTGCTTCTCTAAATCTGGGAATTCTTAGAAATCATGATGGGATTTCACATGGCTTTTCTTTCTCCACATACAGGTGCCTAGGCGGGGCAAGAATTTGCTCCCCGCTGGATTCTTCACTCATTTGTTGAATTTAGCCACAGTAGTGTGGAATGGTATAAAAATATGAGTTTACCATGTCTTGAAAAATATTACATTAGGAAGAATCTGTTATACATTTGGAAAGAGAGCGATTAGTCACTTTGCAATGAGCACTCTTGAATTCTGAGTGTTCTTTCGATAAAGATACTTTACATTATAGGATCCACACTATAAATAGAAAGTAGCAAAACATAAATGTCCTAGATTTTTACAGTTCTTAAGGGCTGTTTTATGTGCCGTGAATAGAAATAACGATGCTGTTTAATGAAGGAATTTTATAACCTAGGGAAGACAGAACCTCATGCACGGAGTCATCTGTCACACGCCCTCCCCTACCCCGGGCACTCCCTCATAGCCACATGGACCATTCTCTTCTTGGGGTCCCAGCTGAAGGGACATCATCTGTGTAAAGCCACTTTAACACTTGAGATCATTTTCTTTCTAGAAGCTCAGATAGAAGAATTGCTGTCTTGAAAGTCAAAGTGGCTGGAATCTGCTCCCCTGCCCCCAAGATCCATGGCCATCTCAGGAGGAGAGCCCTACCATAATCTATGTTCTATTATAGACGCTATTTCCCCCCCAGATCTTCTATATATAACTTGTCATCACTAGATGCCTTGTGGAAACATCTTTATAAGAAAAGAGAAGCCAAATTCTTTAGATCAAGGCACATGACTAAATATAAGAACCGACATGAAATTTATCTTTAACTCGTCATTTTCAAGTCAATAGAGCTGTTATAAAATCATGTTTCTCACACCCCCCCTCCCCCCCCAAAAGCTACCGTTGGAGGTTTCCTAAGCACAGATGGGAAAGAAAGAATTTTTCTCTCTGATTTCAAACATCCTGCAGTTATCTGGGCCATTTCATATACGATGCTCTTCTGAACAGCACTTGAATTCAGCAGCGCCCAAAAGAAAGCAACGCTACTGATTTCTTAGTCCCCCTCCTGTGTTTTTGTAGCTTCACATCTTAGATGTAGAATTTCGCTTCAGAGTTTCATATAAAAAGCACTCTCAAGATTTATTTGCTTTTTAATATTTTGCAATGGCAACAGAAATTGATTTGGCGCTTTACAGGACCCTGCATTCACGAAGGTGGACTTTTAAGGGTTGAACTCTTAAAAGTATACAGATTAAATGCATCCAAGATGAGAGCACAGTACAGGGGGAAACAATGGGCTCTAATTTTGTGCTTCAGTAATTGTTTCCGGTGTTCTTGTTTTTAAACTTTCACAAAATACTTTCACAAAATACGATTCATTTTTTGCAAATAAAATCTATCAAAAACGTTCTCTTCTTTCTTTCCCCATTGCTGCACAATTGCGCTAATATACTAGCTAGGGCAGTTATATTTTAAATGGCCTGTATATACTTAGCAGCATAATTATGCAAATGCTACCATGTTTATGACTGTAAATATCCTTTAGGAGCAGTTACTTAGCTTCCGGTCCTGAAACAAATTTTGAAGAATTCTAGTTGAAATGCTCAGAATGCACACCTCAATTTACCTCTCTGCTGGGTAAACGTGTAGCTCATAAATCCTCACCCATCAGGCAGAATATTGCACAGTGGTAAAAAAAAAAAAAAAAAAAAGTATAGACTCTTTAATAGATATGGACATTCTATGCCACTTACTGGCTTTATGACCTTGAGCAAGTACTTAACCTATCTGAGCCTCAGTTTCTGCATCTATAAAATAGGGATGATAATAGTATGTAAGTGATACTACCCTTTTGGTGAGGAACAGGGAATAGTGGTTCTAATAAAGTGCTGAGTAACTGAATTCATATGTGACAACAGGTAAGATGCTTAACCTCTTTCAGACTCCATTTCCTCAACCAGATTTTTAGGATTATAAGTATTATGTTGGCTTTCTTCAACCAATTCAGGCTAGAGAAAGTCCCTCTATCAAAATTAGCTTTTCTATTATTATATGAACTTTGGACGGTTTTAAAAATGGACTGGGCTGGAAAGTTATAAAAATACATACATTAAAAAAGAAATTTAGATACTCGCAGTGTCTCATTCCCTAGACAAATTTTGCTGATCTCAGTACCACTTCTGAATGAGTATTAAATCTAAACCAATCTATTTTTATGCAAATTCATGCTTTATCACCCTAGATGACAGACAGTGACACATTCTTTCCACTTCCAAGGGCCAGATGAGAAAGCAAAAGTGCACTCTATAAGGAAAAACACAAATGGCCATTTCGAACACTTACAACTTGAACCACTCACTCCTCTTGGTGCACAGATCAATTCCCATGAGCTCCTGATCTCTTAGTCCAAATGGTTTCTGCTGATCACAATTTTCTTTCCACTTATTCAGATTTACGCTGATGATGACGTTAGACCCATGCCCCCCCAGGCTGGCGTTGCCCGCAGCATGAGTCACCGCACTGTGTGTCTGCCCCCCGCCCTTTAGCATGGCTACTGGCCTGCTTCACTTGACCCCCCCACTGTTCAGAAACTCCTTGCAGACAAGGATGGCCTTTGATCCTACTCTGTGGCTTCTCCAACACCCGCAGGGCACGCTGCACAGGGCTGGTGCTCAGTCGACACCTGTTCCCTCGGTTTGACTCTCAAGAGGGGTCCTCAATAACTCCTAGGCGCACGCAGACCACCCGCGGCCACCCTCACCATCTTACCTGGTCTCTCTATCTTTGGGTATTGTAGCAGTGCTGTAAGCAAACACTTGCTTCTCAACTAGAGGTGGGCCGAAGTCCACAATGCTGGATAATCCTGGAGCGGTCCGTGGTTTTTCAATATACACCAAGGTGCCGGGCTCCTTTTTGAAGGCCTGGCGGCTTGGAGAGGCCCGATCTGGCTGCAGGGTGTGAGGGGGCCCGTGGGCGTTATGGTGGGCATGCATATCTACCATTCTCAGGTCACCAACTCGGTGGGGAGAGGCGGGAGGTGTTTTGGCGCCCAGAGTAGGCAAGTGGCTATCTGGGTATTTCCTTGATTTCTGTCTGTACAGTGACTGCTCCATATGCATTTCTGCTTGCAAGGAAGGGTTGCAGTATGCACTCGCCGAGCGAATTGCCGTGCGGTGATATGCAATGATGTGATCAGGGACATCCAGCGGGTGCCCCCCGTGGGAAGAGGCTATGCTCATCCGTCCCTCGTGATAAAGGTAGGGATCAGTATAGAAGCCCTCGTTTCGGTACATGGCAATGTTCTTGCCACTCATGTCTTCGTCCGGCTTCACATCTCTTCTTTCCAAAATGGCGCTTGGGCTGGGTGAGATGGATCTGGAGACTGGCAGGCTGGAGAGTCTGTCTCTGGGGATGGTGGCGTTGCCAGGAACAACCATCGGGCGGGTGCCCCCGTAAGGAATTCTGGATGGGGAAGGAGGCATGGAATGGGGCACAGGAGTGGATGGTGGAGAACTTGGAATGGCATGGGGTGGATGAGCTGTGGATCCAGGCCGAGAGGCACCAGGGCCATCTCCTCTTGCATAAACAATTTCTCTCTGCATCTGAAAATAAAACAAGACGTTAGAAAATCTCCTTTGATATTCATGTTCGTAGAGATGTCTCGGTGTGACAGTGTGGCTTTCCTGATGTAGCAGGCTGAATCACGGCCCCTCCTTCCGCAGGATGCCCATACTCTAATCCCTGGAACCTGGAACCATGTTACCTTTCGTGGCAAAAGGGACTTTACGGATGTTCCTTTTTAAGGATATTGAGATGGGAAGAATATCCGGGATTATCCAGATGGGCCCAATGCTATCCTACTATATGTGCAAGAGGGAGGAGGGGGTCAGAGTCAGGGAAGGAGACGAGAGGACAGAAGCAGGGCCAGAGAGAGAGACTAAGAGATGTTCTGCTGATAACTGTAAAGAGGGAGGAAGGGGCCAGGAGTCAAGAGTTGCAGGTGGCCTCTAGCAGCTGGAAAAGGCAAGGAAACGGATGCCCCCCTAGCACCTCCAGAGGGAGTGAGGCACGGCGAGTACCTTCATATTGCCTGTAAAATCCATTCTGCACTTCTGATCTCAACAACTGTAAGCGAATGCACTTTTGGTGTTCTAAGCCACTAAGTTTGTGGTAGTTAGTTACAGCAACCCCAAGAAACAAATACGCCCAATAAAGAGCTCAACATTGTGAGGGTTTGGGGGGAAAACACCGCAGTGGTTTGCTTTGGCAGGTCACAGCTTCTTAGAGACACTTAATAAATGCAAATCTAATGTATCAAAAATGCTAAAATATTATTTTCTAAAATTTGTCCGGGGTGCATTTTCTAGTATTGGCCCTGGAAAGTAGTTACTAAGCATCTCTCCCATCTCTCCAAGCAGAGACAATCTAGAGACATGGCCAGAGAAGGTAATGAGATGCACAGGGAAAACCTGGAAGTAAGTTTCATTATTTCATCAGCCCTCTACTTGAGCCTTGGAGAAACCAGCTCCAAGAGGTTGGGAGAAAATAATGATCTGAGAGGTAAGAATGTAATTCGAGGCAAAACTCATGGTGGTGGGGGGGTGGGTGGGTAAGGTAGAGAAGAGGGAAAGGAATCTGAGGCATGGTGAAGAGTGAGAATCCTAAGAAAACCCTTCTGGGTCTGCCATGTGATAAAGAGCCTGATGGAGTTGACCGTCGTAAGCCAAGTACTTCTTGCCCAGGCAGCAGTGACTTCTGGGTGGTGTCATTACCATCCAGTCCAGGAGAGTGAAGACTCCCACTCGGTCTTCCATCAGCTCTCCTTTGCACGAAACGAGGAGTAAAGAATCAATGACTTAAGAATCATAGACACAGAGAACAGACCGGTGGTTGCCAGAGGCAGGATGTTGGGGTTGGGTGAAATGGGTAAAGGGAGTCAAAAGGTATAAACATGCAGCTGTAAAATAAATGTCATGGGGATATAATGTATAGCATGGTGACTATAATCAGTAATACTGTATTGTATATTTGAAAGTAAGTAGGGGAGTAGATTTTAAAGGTTCTTCTCACAAGAAAAAAAACTGTAAATATGTATGGTGATGGATACTAACTGGACTTATTGTTGGTCATCATTTGCAATATACACAAATATCAACTCACTATGTTGTACATCTGAAACTAATATAATGCTACCTTGTCAATTATATGTCAATAAAAAAAGAATCAAGGTAAGGGGGCAAGGGGAAACTGATTTGCAATTACGCTACTGTGTGTAGCAAGGGGCAGAATAAAAAATACAAATTAATTCAAAATATGAATATTTGATACACTTTGTTTTGGTCAAAGCCAAAGAAGGTAATAACTAACTCACCGAGATTCTCCAAACGGCTACAGGGAAGGGATGGACAGCTTTGGCACCTACCAAGCTCACTCTTCAAGTTCTATTTGTACCATCACAGGAGCCCGTATTCCTATCTAGACTTTTGGCAGATGTGACAGACAGGGGGAACATGAAGGGTTGGGAGGTGGGTGAAGTAGGGGCATGAGGAAGAGAGGAGGTGGGCTCAAATGGACCGGAACCAAGGTGGGCAGTCAAGAGACCCACAGTGTGAGTGATGGGGAGGGATAGAAAAAGCAAAAACAAAAAACAGAGGCAACAGGAGAAGGCTGAATGAGGATGAAACAGAGACCAATGTTCTGAATACGTACTGTTTCCTTATCTTACAAATGCATTCATTTAGTAAGCAATATTTACCAAGCACTTGCTAAGAATAAGGCATTGTTCTAAATAAGTCCCCAAGTTCCTGCCCTTGAGAAGGTATGTTCCTCTGTATATTTCTTAGATGAACACACAGAGGAAGAGGCCTTGGGAACCCCACAGCTTCCTTATCTTGTCTCTGGAAGAATCCACCAGTGCAGAATCCCTGGTCCAGGAGTTTTATAAATGATGCCGGATTTTCTAACAGAAATGACCAATAAAACAAATGCAGGCAAGACGCAAATATGTAGCAACCAAAAGGAACCTTCTGAGGGTGTGTTACCTGTGCATCACTGATTTGGTTCCTCAATCCCCTGGTGGGGGCCCCAGAGTATGCAGGCTTCTCACGTGCAGCTACAATTTTATCTCCACTAGCCCCACGTGCACTCCCACAACAGGCTAGTCTGTTCCCCCCTCTAAACCAAATCTGGGACGTCCTCAGGCTGTCCTCACCCCTGGGACTCTCTCCCCATTTCCTGGCCCTTGTGGATCCAAACCAAGACTGAGGGTCAAGGTCTGGCTCCAGGTGCATCTGCTCCACGTGGCCCAGGCCTGACGCCCTAGCCCACATGGTCCTCCCTCTGCTCACTCACTTGACACCCTCATAACTCAGGGGCTCAGGGCCTTAGACCAGGAGGGCATCCCCAAGGTCAGTGTGTGATGACATACAAGACTGTCCTCCCACAATGGCTGAGTAACCATACGTCAGAAGTTCTGCAACAGATCTACACAGATCCTTCATAAATATCTCTACCACCCCATCTTTCACAAGGCAAGGCTCAGCGAAAAGAAAAGTGGTTAAGTAAAGCAGGGCTTCATAGATCGTAAAAGACAAGAGGCACTGGCTTAGGCAGCAGCACATATCTGGCCAAACTCCCCATGCGATCAGACCACACAACACAAGATTTAATCCAAACAAAGGTAAAGATAAATTCATACAGATTCAAACATGCCACTGTGTGTAAGACATAACACAGTGAGTGCGCAGGGCAAATCAAGTGCAACGAAAGACAGGTAACTATTGTCATTACTGATACCATTTCTTTTTTTTTTTTTAATTTTTTTTTAACGTTTATTTATTTTTGAGACAGAGAGAGACAGAGCATGAACGGGGGAGGGTCAGAGAGAGAGAGAGGGAGACACAGAATCTGAAACAGGCCCCAGGCTCTGAGCTGTCAGCACAGAGCCCGACGCGGGGCTCAAACTCACGGACCACGAGATCATGACCTGAGCCGAAGTCGGACGCTTAACCGACTGAGCCACCCAGGCACCCCTGATACCATTTCTTAAAAAAGGTTCCAAATGTCTGTTGTTTATCCCTCTGGATAAACAATAATCCAAACTATTAGTCGTCTTTATCTGGCCTCAGATTACATCAGAATTTGGGGGATCCAAATTGACCCCAATTAACACACAGTGAATGCCCCCCTTTCCTGGCAAGAGAGTAAGAAGACACATTAATAATTCAAGTAGTACAGAACTGTCTAGAAGGATAAGGGATATTAATGAAAGGAAAATAGAAAATTAATTTTAATTAATGAAAAGTTGAGTAAATTTCTTTTAAAACAACAGAGATACCAGGGCACCTGGGTGGCTCAGTCGGTTAAGCAGCCAACTTTGGCTCAGGTCATGATCTCGCTGCTCATGAGTTTGAGCCCCGTGTTGGGCTCTGTGTTGACAGCTCAGAGCCTGGAGCCTGCTTGGGATTCTGTGTCTCCCTCTCTCTCTGCTCTTGCCCCACCTGCACTCTGTCTTTGTCTCTGTCACTCTCTCAAAAATAAACATCAAAAAATTTTTAAAAACAACAACACAGACACCTGCATAGATATAAAAAAAAAAAAAACAAACAAACAAGCTTGCTGATGTGAGAAGAAATTGTTGGGAAGTACATTATATAACGAACTTTTAAAATAAAACACACACAAATCTCTAATACTAGACTTTCTTGGTGCCACGTACAGATGAATTCAGAAAGAGAAGTAACAGCAGTAATTCTGATATGCTGTGCACTCATATGCAAATGTGGGTGATAGTCAAAATATTTACCATCTGGTAGCTAATGTCACATGGGTGCCAACCAACTGGAATGGGACTCTGGCCAACCAGGATGGGTCCTATCTGTATGCAATCAGCATCATGTACCCAGTGGTAATGCTGCCTATCAGCCTTGTCTTGTCCATCTCAAACTAACGTTGCCATCACCCCTCGGGGTCACTGAAAGAATCACTGTCCACCTGAGTCCTCCACAGTGGCGGTGAATACAAGGACTCAGCTATGACAGAACAGGTGACCTAAGATTGAATGCCTCCATCAATCCTGGTGACTTGGAGGTTGGAAGTCTTTGGTAGAATTCCTATCTTGCTTTGCCAAGCTCTGACTGACTTCACAAGACCCCAGATAAAAGAACCCATGGTGATGTCCTCCTCAGCAATTCCCCTCAGCCCAGGAAGAGAAGGACATGATGGTTCCATCAGACTGTGGGAAAATGTTTTAAGCCTACAACTAGGATGAACCTTTAAAATTTTAAAACTGAGGTTCATCCACGAAAGGATATGGATCAACCAAAGGCACTCTCTCTGAAAATGAGGCAGAAGCGACGGGGAGATGAAAAGAGAATCTTTTTCAAGTCTTCGCCATGATCACCCAAGGAGACCACTTGCTGTTCCAGTAAAATGTGGACTTTGTAGCCTCCAGGAGTTATTCACTCTCTGATTGACAATCGGGATGATGGTTAAGATTCTATAATACATAATCTTAAGAAGTCCCAGTGTTACAGCTTAGTGCTCTTTCCGTGGAGAGATCTCCTAGCATCAGGCACCTGCACGGTTTTGTTCTGTTTTCTTA